AAGGGAAGCACAAGCAATTGTAGTTTCCTGGGCAACACAGATGATGCCTGGGAGAGACCCATTCAGTGCGTGGGACCATGAACTGGGCAGACAGGTGGATGGCTCCGTTGCAGGTCAGGTGGCCCATTTAGAATTTGGAATTAAACACAGGGTGCACTGCCCTTGTATAACTCAGGGCCAGGTAAACAGGAATACCTGCTGCCTACAGTTTGTTACAGGAAGAGGACACACTGGAGCCACCGCAGTGAAGTAAGAATAGGCCCCACAATGAAAGGCTAATTCATGGTAAGGGGTCCAGAGGTCAGGGGCTGCGTGCTTTGTCCTCCCTTCTGTGAAGAATGAGGCTGGATACACTTTCTCCCTCAGATCAGGAGCCACCAAGAGCACTTTGGAACCCGAGCCCAAACTAGGGGCTCAGCTGGGATGTTTACATTTTGCTGGTCATCTATGCATATCCCAAAGCAGCTCAACTATCACCTCGATCTGACAAACCTTCACATCATCCTACACAACATCACCTCCTCACCATTTCTCTCTTTCTCCGCTTTACCTTTTGTTCAGAGCACCCAGCACATCCTGATTTCATGTTATGCATGTGCTGGCTGGTTTGACTCTTTCGTGCAAACATGCCATCATGACAAGCTCTTTGGGTTGAGAACTGTGCTTCTAGTGCCTGATCCATATGAGGCACTCAATACATACCTGATAGAGGAACCAGGGAATGAATTCCTCTTAACCCAGTCTACAAATCTGATGAGATCCCAATCAAAATTCCAAGGGAATTTGATTATATGATTCAAAATGCATACATACAAACATTTAAAATGTGTATTTTTTGAAACAAATTTTATTTGCCGGAATTGATTCAAAATGAATAAATGTTCAGAGGTATCTATACAACAATGATCATCAAAGACTTACTTATAAAGTTGAAAACAAAATCATTTTAAGTTCATTAACTACAGCCAAATTATACAATTTATGACGAAGCAGGAGAAAAGATACTAGAAGATATTATTTTTCAGAAATAACTTTAATATTATTAAAACTTACAAAACATAAACATAACAAAAAAGACTTATAACTATGGGTAAGAGTATATTTACATGTATTATGAGGATATCTGAAAGGATAAATATAAATATTTGTATAGTTATTTCTTAGTCTAAACAAAAGAGATTATGTTGAGAATAATTTTCAGATCTGCAGTCAATCATTCATTGACTTCCTTTGGTGAGTATTCCCCTGGCCACCTAGGACTGTGGCTCCAGCTGGCAGGACCAAATGTAACTGCAGGACAGAGTGGCACCTGTGAGCTCCCAACCTCAGGTGTCCCTCCCAGTGTCAGGAGCCCCAGGAATTGCTACACAGCAAGGTCTGGGGGGAGGAGGGATAAGGGAATCATGGACACAGGTTCTCTGGACTGACCAGGAGAAAGAGTCCAGCCCTGCCCTTGCCCAACTACTGCCCGGCCTCACCTCTCATTTTCACTGAGCTGTTTCAGGGCCCAGAACCAGGCCCAGAATTGCTCCTCAGGCTCTATTTTGTATTTCTGGGCAGACTCCTGCAGAACCACTATCTCCTCCAAAACTCTCTGTACCTGAGGCAAGAGGGAAGGAGAGGATGCAGACACGGCCCAAATGGGGGTGAAGAGTGGAGCCGGGGCTTGGTCCTGGGTCTTTGCACACAGGGGCACCCTCCTTCCCCCTAATTCCATCCAGGCCCTTGCTGTGCTCAGAGATGGGCATCAACAGCCCTTCCTCCAAGAGATTATCCTTGATTCCACGCCCATATCCCCAGCCACCAACTGGAGGGGTCTCCCACTTCTGTTATCAAACTCTCCCAATAAATGGAAGATGCAAGGGATGAAGCCCAGGAGTGTGCTGGCAAGGGCGTCTATGATTCTCACTCCTTCTCCTGTGCCACAGCTGCTAACCTTTTCCTTTCTTTCTATGTTGATCTGATTCCCCTAAAAGGCAGATATCCAAGGTCCATGAGAAAGAGCCCCCTGGCTAGGACTAGCCCGCTTTGCCCACCCTTCTCATGTTGCACTACCACCAGGTCCCAGGAGGGAATGGGAAACAGGAAGAGGCAGGACTTGGATCAAGGCCAGACTCTGGGCTCCAAAGGAGGGGGGACACGGATGACTATGATGGGCCTGTTGCTCCAGCTCCAAGGGGAGGCTGTGCTGAGAACTCAGGGCTCAGTATGGGGGTTCTCTGTACCCCAAGGTCAATCCTGGTCACCCCAGCTCAGGCCCCAGTTAACCCACCTCCAGATCATCCTCCATTCTGGTGTCCATCATCTGCAGGTCTTTCAGGTATTTTCCCAGGAAGGGAACACACTGGACAAACAGGGTGAGGGTGGGATGAGCCCCTGCTCTCAGGTGCCCCACAGGCCCTCTCCTGAAAGCCTCCCACCATCAGCCTCCTGGCCACCCCAGGTTCCCACGTGGAGCGGCCCAGGTCCCTTAGGGCCTCCACTCAATTGTCCCTTCCCTCACTCACCAGGAACTCCTCCTGATCAGCTCCCAGGACCTCCTTTGGGCAAATCACTGGGTCAGCGGTCCTGGGCCAGACCCATCCCCATGTCCAGCCTGCAGGCACCTCCCCCAGGCCCTTCTCTTGGTCATTTCTAAGGGAGGATTTCAGGTTCTGTGGGCACAGGAGGTGGGGCTGGAGGAGGAAGGCCTCTCTCTCTTGACTTGGAGGCCTCCAGCTGAGAGGACAGAGCCCCCTCCTCTGACCCTAAGCACCCCCAGACAGGCTCACTCACCTTCTTGTGCAGCCTGGGCTTGGATCCAGGGACATAGAGCATCAGAGAGGCATACTTGGAGGGATGCTTCCACTAGGGTGGAGGGCAGGGTCATAGAGGTCATGCTCACCTTACCCCATTTTCCCCATCACCCCTGACCACACGCCCTGGACATCTGACCCAAGTCAGCTGGTACCAGTGCCACCCAGACTCCAGCATGCTCTGATTCTGGACGACTCCCAGCTACAACGCTCACTGTGTGTGACCTTAGGCCTGGGCCTGGCTCCCTGACCCGTTCCCTCCTCTGGAAAGTGGGAGACCTCCACCTGGCTCACAGGTTCTCCTGAGGACTCAGTGTCATTCCTGTCATCATTGTTCTCACCCTCAGCCCTCCAGGTGGCACAGGGCAGGGAGCTCTGCACAGTCCTGTTCTGTCCTGAACTCCTGACCACCCTGTGAGGCCTGTAGCATTGGTGGTCACTCCTCCATGTCAATCACGAGGAGACTGATTGGCAGGGAGTGCTCTAGGGGTACAGTGGGAAGTCTCAGAGAGCACACCCCTCTGTCTCTGGTCCAGCCAGTAGGACCCGAGGCCAAGCAGTCCTTTTGTTCCCCTTTCCCGTGGGAATTTGCTGCAGGGCCCATCCTGGGCAGGAAGGGCACTCCCCTTGCAGGTGTGGAGAAGACACAAGTGGCAGCAGGGCCCTGGCATCCTGAGGACAGGCTGGGCTGGTTTGGGGAAGAAACCTCCCCCACCCACCCATTCACCCCACAGACTGGAAGAAGCAAAGTGCAATTGGGAGGGGCCAGCATGGAAGCCAGAGACCCGCTCAATGTGCCAGCTCTGCACCCTGTCCTGGAACAGCATGGTCTCCATCCTGTGTGCCATGACCGGGGCCTCCTGCCCTTGAAAGTGCCCTTCTAACCCCACCTGCCCATGGACCAAACACATCCCTCTTCCTGGTAATCGGGACCCAGAGGGTTAACATTTTCAGAGAATCTTCAAGTGACAAACTACCACAGCCGCATCCTGTGCAGTCCCCCCTTCCCTCACGCCCTCCTCTCTGCAGACCTCCAGGCTCCCTCTACCTTGATGAACTGTTCCCTGCTCAGTGAGTTGTCTTTCTTGCACAGTGTATGCAGAGTAACTGCCCGCTTCCTGAGGGGAGGGAAAGAGGAAAGACATGTTTAGGAAAGATGGGGGAGATGGATTAAGGACAAATTCTTGTTGGCAATGTCATGTTTCAAACTGCCTCAGGGTTCCTCTGAGCAGGAAGGTCTCCATGGGACTGGGGCAGGGCTCTCATGCTGATCACGTGGGCTCCCTTCCCATTTCTATGGAGCAGCTCTGTTTTAACCAGTTTGGGATTCAACTGGGCATACGGTTCAGGTGCTGAAAACACTTGAAAATCTCCCATTTGGCTCAATGCCGTCTCTGACAATGAAGGAAAATGACTCCTGAAGCAGAGCTAGTGGCCTGAGGTCCCAGGGAGCCTTAGAGGCCCCGCCCACCAGCCCAGTCCCTGTCCCCAGGGTTGGCTGCCTCCCAGGAGGTGAGGGGACATTGGGAGACATTTGGGTGACAACTCCCCACGCCTCCTCTGATGGGAGAGGCCTACGCACCTGGAAACTTTCTCCCATGTTTTCTTCAGACGATGGACAGACATGCTCTGCAGAGCGCCCAGGATGGCGTGCAGGGAGGAGAAGTTCCTTAGGCTTCTGCACTCCTGGGGAAGGGGAGACATGGGCTGTGAGGTGGGAGCTGTAGCTGTTGCTTCAGTCCCCCTTGATGGACACACCCTCCTGGTGAGAAAGATGCCCAGGTTGGGCACGTTTAGCAGCCAAAAACCAACTCTCAGAAGATGAGGATCCCAGCTCAACCCAAGGAAGGAGCCAGGTAGGAAGTGAGCCTCCCAACACCAGGACCTGGGCATCAAGGTCCACGAGTCCCTGGAAGAGAGGACGTGGAGGCTGTGCTGGGGCTCAGACCTCAGGCCTCAGTCCTGAGAGCTGACCAAGCAGCAGAGGCATTTTTCAAGGCTCCGCATAGGGACGCTGCTGGGCCTCCCCTCACAGACCTTGGCCACCTTAATCCAGTGCTCCACCACTTTGGCCCTGTCCCCGGCCATCATGCTTGCGTCCCCAAGGAAGGTGGTGATCACACAGGAGGCCACGTGACAGAAGTGTCTTACGGTGGCAATGACAGTGGAGGCCATGTGCTCCTTGCCGGGCTTGGCCCGCTGGGATCAGACGAAGCCCAGGCACTGGTGGGGCAGCACCTTCTTGAACAGCTCCTGGGGAGAAAGAGGAGTGTCACCAGCCCTGCCACACCCCAGCTCAGGGTCCCCAGTCCCCTGAAGGCGACACTGGTCAAAACTGAAGCTCAGGAAGCTGCGGATGTGCCTGAGCCTTGGAGTCCATGGGATTCACTCTCTGTCCACCGAGGGCACCAAGCACTGGATGACCCAGGGCCCAAGACTGGAGGGGAAGGGCCAGGAGCATCTGCCTCCAGCCCATCCTCACTAACTCCAAGCTCCAGGAAGTGGCTCAAGTCTGCTCACCCCAAGGGGGCATCTTCCAGCATCTGACACCCTCTGGTCTGAATCCCCATTCAGTGCACATTCCCCTGTGGCAGCCACCACCACAGCTGTTTGTCTCCCTTGTAGTTAAACACACATCAGGGGCCTAATACGTGCTGATGCCGCTGAGCCCCATGGGAACATAGATGTGTGCGACCCATGGATCAGGCTGCACGCGGTGAGCTCCCCTCCCCACAGACTGGGCCGGGTCAAACCCAGCTTCCTGCCTCCTCGCCCTCATTGAATCTGCACAGCCACTCTGTGCAGCAGGGCCTGGGGTGCCCACCTCCACTGTCCGCAGGTGGACAGCAAAGGCTGGGGGTTGAGAAAGTTGCCCAGGACCCATGGGTGGTAAAGTGGTGGAGCTGAGATTTGCATGAAGATCATAGGAGTTGGGATCAGGGAAAGGCAGGTCAGGGTGGCCGAGGGCAGAGGGAAGGCCTGTCCCACCCACCCTGAGAGCTCCAGACTCACCACATCCATTGCTGTCAGTTGCTCGGCCACCAGCCTTGGAGGGAAGGTTAGGATGGTAAGCTTCTCCTCCCTTGTAAGGTGCTTAGGGGTCCCAGCCCTGGGGTAGTCAGTTGTTGGGCGTGGAGCTGGCTCTGTTGTTGGGATTCGGATCAGAGCTGGTGGTCCAGATGGCTCCAGCACTACCACACCTGGACCAGGCTCTAGCCCAGGAGCAGGCCCTTCCTCTGGCTCTGGAGTGAGCTTGAACTCTGGAGGTGGTTCTGGAGCAGGTTAAAGAGACAGGTTCTCACACATGCCTCACTTCCCCATGCATTTCCACTGACAGGAAGGATGCGACTGCCTTTAAGGGAATTCTGGCCCCTGAAACATCCCCGCCCTCTGCCCCACTCTCCCAATCATCTTCCCCAACTGCAGTCCCCTCACCTTCCCACTGTGCCTCAGTGGGCTCTAGATGCGCCAGGTCCACCCAAAGACTTCTGACGAGGCCCACCGGGTGTGGGGCAGGGCGGCTGTGCAGCACCAAGGCCTGCTTCAGGATGAACCAGGGAGAAAGGAGGGGCTGGCCCAAATATTGTACCCGGTCCGGCCAGGTTCCCATCACACAGGCGGTGGCCCTGGGGAGAGGCAGGTGGGCAGCAGAGTCTGAGTCCTGGTCTTTCCTTCCACTCTGCCCTCCCATGGCACCTTGTTTGGGACTGAGCCTCTGTGTAGGCCCCTCCCCTTCCAGGGCACAGCCCCATGCCACCCCCGGCCCCTGTATGGCTGTCCTGGTTGTAGCAGGTGTGGGATCCAGCAGGTTCAACATGGAGTCTGTGTGAGACTCTTCTTTCCACTGGCAGCTCTCCTGAAGGTCCCGTGCACTGCCCACCCCAGCCCTCCAGGCCCCTGGGCATCTGGGCTGAGGACTAAGACAGACTTGTGAGCAGCCTGCTCACCACAATCCAGTCTGAGCCTGGCCACGGTGGTCAGGGGAGATGGATATGGAGAGGGGCAGGCAGAGTGGGGTGGGTCTGTGGTGGGGATGGGACTCTGAGGCACAACTCAGCCCAGCGTCCCCTCTGGGTCTACAAGGCCCGGGACCCCACCCACTGTCCTCGTTGACTCATGTCCTCCTGGAATAGAAGCCACCAGAGCTCAGCCCTCCCTTGGGAATCAGAAGATGTGTAAGATCAGGGTTCTGCCAGGCCCTGCCCTACCTAAGCCCCCACTCTGCTAACACAGGAGACCCTCCTTCTGCACCCACAGGCCACTCACTTTGCTAATTGCTCCTGCGGTGTGTCGCCCCGGTCATTATGAGGAGGTGTCCCTCCAGACGTGGAAAAGACCTTGATGGCATCTGATCTGATGGACGGTGGACAGGACCTGCGAATGATGGACAGTGTGACTGTCTGACACTGACTAGAACTGAGGCCCAGGGATTGTGTCTGCTTCATTCCTTGAGTCAGGCTAAGTGTCTCTAAAAGTTCCTGCCTGTGGTAGGAGCTGAATGCACATTGTCAAGTGCATCTGAGTGGGCCTGGAGCCCTGCTCTCCCCTGCCATCCCCCATGTGGCTACACCAAGGACCAGGACAAGGTCAGCGAGGTGACATCTCACACTGCTTGACAGGTTGTTTCCCATGTGCTTTTCCACACTCAGATGCCACAGGCCGCTGATGGGAGAGTCAGGGGACTTTGCATGGGACAGAGAGACACAATTGGCACGAACAACCACAGCTGGTCCAGCAGCCCTTTCTGCAGAGTTGGCAGCAGATAGGCCCTGCCATGGCTTGTCCCCATAGCCATACCTAACAGAACACTATGAGGTTGATCCTGTACCACCCCACTTTTCAGAGGAGCATTCTGAGGCTCAGGCTGATGTGATGACGTTGTCAAGACCCACAGCTAGCAGTGGGCAGAGTCCCCACTGTGACGAAGAGTTGACCCGTGCTCACCTAGTTAACAGCTCGTCCAGGAACCACTGGGCTCTGGAGAAGGACGGGTGGGTGGGCATCAGGGTGCAGATGTGGGGGATGTTTCCAGCCGGGAAAGCTGGTACCAGGGACCCTGCCACCTTCTCCAACGTGCCTTTCTGCAGGGCTCACATCCTGCGGGCCTCATGTAGTCTCAGAGTGAACTCAGCTGCACACTGAGGAGGCAAGGAGGGACATCCAGTCAGCGGCATCACCAAGAATCCCGGGAGGATGGAGGTCTGGAGCTCACACAGGAGTCCCAGCCCCTCAGGGACATGCACAACAGGAGGGACAGGAGGGCCCAGGCTGAATGAGGTTCTAGGCTTTCAAAGTTTCACTTTAGTTTGGAGGGTGGGGGATGTTCATACAATTGTGACCTTCTAGGCATATTTTTTGTTTGCTTGCTTATTTGTTTTAGCTGAGGAACAACAAACCCCTTGTATTAATAGTTTGTATGAGGGGCATTGTCCCTGTGAGTCCTTAAGAAACATCCCCATTATAAAGATGAGAACACAGAGGCTTAGGGATGTCACATGTCTTCTCAAGGTCATGAGGGCAGAACTGTGAACTGTCCTGGATGACATTTTCTCTCAGCTACCTGAGACTCATCTGCTCCCAACATGAATGAAAAGGGGGTGGGAACCTTGCCCATTCCTTGTGTGGGGACAGTGTACACGATAGACATGGCCTATGAAAACCACTGACCTTTAAAAAGACACTTTTCTTTCATCCTTTTATTAAAGGGCATTTTAAGACCCTCATTATGGAGATCCCAGTGGCAAATGCCTGCAGACTCCAGACCAGAGAAAGGTGATCATCAGGCATGAATCTGAGCAGAGGACTCGGGGAGGAGCTAATCCATGTGGTGGGTGTAACATGACAGGTGACTCAGTGTCCCTTGAGGCAATTGCCAATGAAGGAACACTGTGATTGCCTTGGACAGCCCGACATCAGACAGGTGAAAATTTAAATGAGTGAGAAAACCCTGGGCCAGGCTGGGAGCAAGGCAGCAGCCATCATCAGAAACTGCTGTTGGCACCGTCCCTGCTACAGCCCTTTGGATTTGGAATCTGCCTGCAGCCGTTACATTTTACATGTGCTCGTCCTTCCACCAGCAGTGGGCGTCAATCTCCAGAGGGGGTGGTACATGTTGTGATCTGAATTGTGTCCCCCCAATTCCATGACTTTGGGATCCCTAGAACTTCATTATGTGTCTGCATTTGAGTTTTAGTCTTTAAGCAAGTCATTAAGGTGAAATCAGTGGTGTGGGTCTTGATCTAATCTGAACAGTGTCCTTAGAAGAGGAGGGGAGGGCACGTGGCAGTGCAGAGGGGAGTCCATGTGACACACAGAGAGAAGACAGCCATCTACAAGCTAAGGACCTACCCCTCAGGAGAAACCAGCCCCACTGACAGCACCATCTCTCACTTCTAGCCTCTGGAATTGTGAGAAAATGAATGTCTGCTGCTGACACCACCCAGTGTGGTCCTATGTTATGGCAGCCCAAGCAAGCAACCTAACGCAGTCCATTCCGACACACATCAGTGTTCCGGGCAGCACTGCTGACATGGCAGCTGAACCGCATTAGGCCCATGTCCAACGGCACTGAAAGGCTGCATCGCTGGCCAAAGGACCTCCGTTATTGGGCCAGGTCTGCAAGGACAGTGGAGCTGAGTGCTCCACAGGATACTGGCAAGGGTAGTTTAAATAATAAAAACAGCGATAGGCAAAAGTGATCCTGGTCTACCATGAAGTGAAACAATATTATTTCACTCTAATATTTCCACAAATATATGAGGAGCGTCTTTCTACTCTCCCATGTAACTGGAGGGAAGAGTGGAGGCCTGGATTCCTCTGTCATGGGGCTGAGGCACACCCTAGGGGCCGTGGGAGGGCCTCTTAGGGCCCCCAGATTTGAGTCTGGGTTCTGGGCACTGCCAGGTTGTCTTGAGTTTGTGGGTGTAGAGACCCTCAAGGCCAGTTCTCACCTGAGTCCAGCCCTGGATGGTGTCTGTGGCCCGATGCACCTTCCCCGGGTCGAGGGAGGTCGAGTAGTTGAACCCGTTGACCAGCCCTTCAGTGATGTCCCGGTTGGGGCTCTACAAAGACAGAGCCCGGTACCGGGCCAGGAGGCTTCAGAAACCTTCCACCCCAATCTGCGGCTCTACCCCATGGCAGCCCTGGCAAACTGAGACTGTCTGTTAGGACACAGTGAGGATGTTCCCAGCAGCCCTGCTGAACTAGCAGCAGAGATGCATCATGTCACGGTCAACAACCCTGAAAGGCTGCGTCCCTGAGGAAGACTGCGTCCTTTATGGGATGATATGGGGGTGTGTAGGCCACAGCTCCTGACCCAGTGGGCCTAGGGTGGTTTGCCCTGCTCTGTGAGATGACAAATTGCAGAGAAAAGTATCCAGTACTTTGCTTCCTCCCATATTTTTGACAAACCACCCAGTCAAGTGTGATGATGAGTGAGGCTTAGAGAAGGTCTGAAAGGACAGTGGAGCTGACTGCTCCACAGGTTACCTGGGGCGAGTAGTTACAACATCAAAATAGCAAAATCCAAATGTGCTCCTGGCCTACTGTGAGATAAAACAACTTATTATAGTCTTTAAAATTCCCACAAATATGTGAGGAGTGTCTTTCTATTCTCTTGTGTAGCTGGTGGGGGGAGTAGAGGTCTAGATTGCTTTGTTATATGTCTGTGGACACGCTAGTGGAAAAGCCCTGGAAGGGCCCTGGGGGAGTTTGCAGATTGAAGTCTGGATTCTCAGCCCTCCTTGGTCATGTTGAGGTCCTGGGTGTGGAAACCATCTGGGGCCAGCTCTCACCTCAGACAGATACTGGATGGTGTCATCAGCCTGGTTCACCTGCACCCTGACCTGGTTGGTGGTGTAGCCGGGCCCATGGGTCACCACCTCCATAATGTCCTCCTTAGAGGTCTGCAAAGACAGAGCGTGTACTGAGCCAGGAGGTGTCAGGAACCTTCCACCACATCTGTGTTCCTGTGTAATGGCTGACCTAGGACAATCAGACAGTCTATTAGGACACAGTGAGGTTGTTCCAGCAGCCCTGCTGAAGTAGCAAGAACTGATTCACATCAAGGTCTAACAAGAGTGAAAGCCTGAATCACTGAGGAAAACAACGTCCTCAATGGAATGATATGGAGATGGGTAGGGCCACAGCTCCTGACCGGGCCGCATTTCAATGGTTGGCCGTGTTCTATGGGATGTGAGGTTGTAGAGAAATATATCCAATACTTTAATCCCTTCCCATTTTTTTTTAATACACAGCACTATTAAGTGAGATGATGTGTAAGGTTTGAAGAAAGTCTACAAGGACTGTTGAGCTGGGATTGGTCCATAGGATACTTGGGCAGGGAGTTAAACATTTGAAATGGTGTGGTCCTCTTTGGATTCCTTTTGTTTGGGGTTCTATGCGCTTCCTAGACTTGTAAGTCTATTTCTTTCACCAGGTAGGGGAAGTTTTCTGTCATTATTTCTTCAAATAAGTTTTCAATATCTTGTTCTCTCTCTTCTTCTGGCACCCCTATAATTCAGATGTTAGTGTGCTTGAAGTTGTCCCAGAGGCTCCTTACACTATCTTCATATTTTTGGATTCTTTTTTCTTTTTGCTTTTCTGGTTGGGTATTTTTTGCTTCTTCGTATTTCAAATCTTTGACTTGATTCTTGCGATCCTCTTGTCTGCTGTTGGATCTCTGTATATTATTCTTTATTTCAGTCAGTGTATGCTTAATTTCTAGTTGGTCTTTTTTCATATCCTCCAGGGTCTCACTAAATTTATCGGCGGTTTCTAGAAAATTCTTGAAAAACCTTATAACCGTGGTTTTGAACTCTATATCCAGTAGTTTGCTTTCCTCCATTTCTGTCATTTGTGACCTGTTTCTTTGTCTCCGCATTTTTATGCTTCCCTGTGTTGGTAGAGTGGCTTTGTGTGCTAGGTGTCCTATAGGGCCCAGTGGCTCAGTCTCTCCAATTACCTGAGGTGGACACTCTTGGTGCACCCCTTTGTGGGCTTTGTGCACAGTCTTGTAGTTAAGCCTTGATTGTTGTAGGTATCACTGGGAGGAATTGACCTCCAGGCCAATTGGCTGTGAGAATCAGCTGTGTCTACGGTGGGAGAACTTCTGTGCTGAAGACACCCTTTTGGGGCAAGATTTGCTTCAGTGGGGCCTTGGTGCTGAGTCTGCCCCCTGACTGTGTCCCTTATGGATCTGAGGAGTTGTAATCTGGATGATCCCACTCTGACTACTGGGTACACTGGCTCTTGGATCTAAGGAGGTGCTAATTTAGCCTCTGCCTGAGGCTACCCAGAAGGAGCTACGAAGAGATCTGCAGATTCCCCTTCATTGTTTGGGGTTTGGAGGTGCCCAGATGAGGCCCAGCTGTGAAGCAATGCAAGCTGCCTTGGGCCTTCTCTTGGAAGTTCTGGGTCTGTCTGGCCCAGCTGAAGTTTGTTAGGTAATTTTCAGATTGCAAAGGGCCAGGGCATTCATATGCAAAAGCCTCTGCACACCGCTTGGGTGGGGCGGGGTCTCAGGGAATCAACAGGGCGGAGCAAGCAGCTATGGCTGATCCTTAGTCCTGCCCTAAGAGGCCCCGCTTCTCAGCAATCGCTGCAAGCACCGCTGAGAGAAAGCCGCCCTCGATTTCCGAGTTCTGCCCACTGCCAGACAGTCCAGTTTCTCCCCGTATGAGTCTGGGTCCCCAGAGACTTCCCGGAACTGGCGTTCAGAGCAGTCGGGAGCTTGTGTCTCCCTCCTGATTCAAAAAGACAGCTGCGTCCTCAGTTGCCAGCCCTTGTCCTGTGGGCCTCCGTACCTCTGCACTTTACTTCCACACCGCCCCTCCTCTGAGTCTCAGTGTACTTTTCTCCTTCCTTCTAGTTGTAGAATTTCCATTCAGCCAGCCTTCCTGTAGTTCTGGATGATGTCCGTTTTGTCTTTTAGTTGTATTTTTGAAGTTGTTGTGGGAGGCAGCAATTTCCGGTGTTTACCTATGCCACCATCTTGGTTCTCCTATTATATTCACTTTTAAAGAAAAGACAACTCCAATAGTTGCTGGAAGACAAAGTTAATACCAGTATGAGACTAGGCCACCCTTACACAGTAAGATGAAAAGAAATGTAAATGAGTAAGTTGGAATATAAACCAAATGAAATAACTTGTTTTTTGTTTTGTTCCCTTCTAGGTACTGTAGATCAGAGGTCCCCAAACTTTTTAAACAGGGGGCCAGTTCACTGTCCCTCAGACATTCCACACATGCGCACTGCGGGCCTGGGACGGGTCAGCTGCTAAGCAGGACAGGCAGCGGCAAAAACACCTGGCGGGCCGGATAAATGTTTTTGGCAGGCTGCATGTGGCCCGCGGGCCGTAGTTTGAGCACGCCTGCTGTAGATGCTTTGTAGTTGGTAAGGGCTACATTCTAGGCAGAGTGGGTTTGTCGTAAAGATGGGCCCCAATCCCAAATGCCTGGCGAGTGTTGCTCAGTGATTGACTGTTGACCTATGAACCAGGAGGTCATGGTTCGATTTCCAATCAGGGCACATGCCCAGGTTAGAGGCTCATCCCCAGTAGGGGTGTGCAGGAGGCAGCCAATCAATGATTCTCTCTCATTATTGATGTTTCTATCTCTCTCCCTCTCCCTCCCTCTCTGAAATAAAAAAATACACATTTAAAAAAATCATACAGAAGTCTTTAAGCAGGTAAGGCAGTTAGTAATTGTATGGTTTATGTTTAAAAGTGCACATGTAAATGCTTTTCCACCCATTAGCCTGGGATACTCACAGCCCTGCTCTCAGGCACACAGATATGATAAACAAAGCTCAGAAAGCTAAGTGACCCCAGGCTTCAGAGTCCTGCCTCTAAAATAAGGACAGCACCGGACTTGAAAATGCTTCTCCACCTACCCTAAAGCCCACAAGCCTAGGACCCAGCCAAGAGGACACTAAGAATGAGGATACGGCTAACAGGTAGTGTGCACCAAGAGGGATGCTAACAGTTTACAGGCATCGCCTCATTCAACCCTTAGAGCCACCCTCCCTCCAGATGGAGAAAGTGAGGTTCTAAAAGGGGAGCACAGCCCGTCAATGGTAATAACGATGCGGAGGCAGAGCCGAGGACCCCACAGCGGCCTCTTCCCATCACATGCATGTCCCCTTGACCTTGGCCTGTCCATTCACTTAGAGTTTTAGTTATTCCACAGACAGCTCATAGCATTTAGCTTAAGTCTTAGACATCCAAGTGAGAACTATAAAAACCACCAAAAATGAGCTACAGCTGAGGCTACTTTAAATATTATGTTATTTATATATTAATGTATTTTATAAATTAAATCATATTCATAACACCTAAGTGATAAAGAGGGAAATCAGTCTTAGGGCAATCCAAGGTCTTTCTATTATGCAGGGAGAGAGTAAAGATGCTGATTAAATCCAGATTTAGTTAAGGCCCTTCTATAAGTCTTTGACTATTAAATAAGTCTATTTATGTACAGAAAGCCTGACAGTTAGCTCCCCTTTCTCTTACCTCACCCCTCACTGCTCTCCCTCCTTACCAGGGCACTCTTCTCTAAAACAAGTTAACGAATGACCTGGGGAGACTTCTAGGTGCTAAAGAACTTCCCTGTACACCAGGGTACAGCCCACCCTACTCTGGCACTGTGGGCTCCTCAGGCTAAAGGCTCACTCCCAGCCCCTGCAAATGCCTGCCCACACACAGAGAACTTCATTCTCATTCAGGGAGTACCAGTAGGAAGGAGATCTAGATATACAACAGTAGAAAAACCTATAAGGTTCTCTACAATAATCAACCTAGGCCCTCATTCTTAAATAAAAATGGAAAACCCAAGCACCACTGGACGTAATAAAGAAAACCAGCAACATGGTGAACTGCATTCAGCACGGCCAGGGGTGAACCTGAGGAGGGGCAGTGAAGGATTAAAGAAGACAGACAAGAGAATACAGTTGGGGCTATGTATGTTCACTTGTGCCTGGATGAGGACATAGTGACCCAGCCTGCAAGCCAAAGCTTTATTTTATAGTCAGAGCACACAAAGCAAAACAAGGGAAGTGGTCAACATGTTTACAATGTTATTGCAAGTTTCACCTTGTTTTGGCAGCACCTGCTGCACCTCCCACAGCCCATTAGCTACCTAGGAACAAGGGAGGACTATAAGGTCAAGCTTAATTATGCTAGGAGGGCTCTGCCCTCCAAGCTGGGACTTGTTTGTGGCCCGGCCACAGGTCAGTCCGAGGCTTGACCCTATAGCCACTCCCTACACATGGAAGATAAAATTTAAGACTAACCAAAATCAAATAAATAAATAATCTGAGCCCAGAGGAAACAAAGACAACTCAGAGAACAGAAGAAAAATTTTAATTTTTTTCCTAATTATGAGATTAGTAAGGAGATAATCTGAAAACAGGAACATGATGTTATAAAAAAAAGAAAGAACAATTAAACAAAAAGAAAAAACACACATTTGTAAATAATATGTCTACTGAAACCAAACATTTCATAGAAAGTTAAAAGAGAAAGTCTTTTAACTTAAAAGAATCTCCCAGGTGCAAACAAAAACTACTAGGGGAGATGAGACCAACAGAGTAGGGTACAGCCAGGAGGCTCAGTTCCTGACTCAAAGGTGTTTCAGGGGGAAGCAGAGGCGCAGAATAAAAAACATAATTTAGTAACATTAGTAAATGAAAACTTCCCTGAGCTCACGAGAGGCACGAGTTTTCAAACTGAAAAGAAGCACTGAATGTTGAGCAAGATAAAAATGACAAAGACATCGTGATAAAATTTCAAAACTCCCAGGCTGAGGAGCAAAGCCCCAACAGGTCAGTTAGAAAGGAATGGCCACTACTTAGCATCATGGGGTGCAAGGAAGCCTGAACATGTCTTTGAAGGTTTCAGTAGAAATTATTTTTACTCTGTCTCCCTCCAGCCAATTATTAAGCACACATACGGGCTAAAGTACACTTTCAGACGTGCAAGTCTCAATGTGAGTTTTTAAAATGACTGTATAGGCCCTATACTATACGGCAGTGGTCGGCAAACTCATTAGTCAACAGAGCCAAATATCAACAGTACAACGATTGAAATTTCTTTTCTTTTTTTTTTTATTTCTTAAAGTATTACAAAGAGTATTACACATGTCTCCTTTTTTCTCCCCCTTGACATTCCCCCGGCTTCCCCCACCCCCCAGTGTCTTGTGTCCATTAGTTATTCTCATATGCATGCATATAAGTCTTTCGGTTGATCTATTACTCCCCACAACCCTCCCCAAGGTTCTCACTGTAGTTTGACATTCTGCTCAATGCTGCTCTGCCTCTGTATCCATTTTTGTTCATCAGTCTATAATGTTTCTTATTATCCGTAAATGAGTGAACTCACTGGGGCCGTCTCAGCCTCACAGGGGCTGTCTCGACCTCACAGGGGCTGTCTCAACCTCACAGGGGCCATCTCGGCCTCACAGGGGCCGTTTCAACCTCACCAGGGCCATTTCAACCCCACCAGAGCCGTTGCAGGCTCACTGGGGCTGTCTCAGCCTCACTGCGGCTGTTTCAGCCTCACCGGAGCCGATTCAACCTCACCGGGGCCATTTCAACCCCACCGGGGCCGTTGCAGGCTCACTGGGGCTGTCTCAGCCTCACTGCGGCTGTTTCAGCCTCACCGGAGCCGATTCAACCTCACCGGGGCCATTTCAACCCCACCGGGGCCGTCTTGACCTCACTGGGGCCATCTCTACCTCATCAGTGACGATTCAATCTCACCGGGGCCGATTCAATCTCACCGGGGCCGTCTCAGCCTCACCGGGGCCATCCCAGCCTCCTCGGGTCTGTCTCAGCCTCACAGGGGCCGTCTCGAACTCACAGAGGCCATCTCAACCTCACAGGGGCCATCTCAGCCTCAAAGGGGCCGTTTCAACCTCACTGGAGCTGTTTCAACCTCACTGGGGCCGTTTCAACCTCACCGGGGCATGAAATTTCTTTTGAGAGCCAAATTTTTTAAACTTAAACTATATAGGTAGGCACATTGTTATGAACTTAATTAGGATACTCCTAAGGCTTAGGAAGAGCCACACTCAAGGGGCCAAAGAGCCGCATGTGGCTCGCAAGCTGCAGTTTGCCGACAACAGCTATAGGGGATCTTTTGATACACAGAGAAGACTATTTTATGGTTACTTGGGTTTAAAACTAATTATTTTATTAAAATAAAATTTAAAGACCTAGTTTTCCCTGGGGCTTAAAATTCAGCCTATAAATCTTACTCTATTTTAAATTCTAGCAAAACAAATACAATCACCTTCACGTTCTTTCATTATTGTTTAATTTAACTTGACCTAAATTCTTTAAACAATCACTCCAACTAATAAATGTAGCTAATTAAGTTCCCTTAGATATTTTAAAATTCATATAAATTTAATTTTGCTTTTATGCACTTTGGATGCTTGACTTAAGTAAAATTTCTTTTTAAAGAATAATTCTTGCCCTAACCAGTTTGGCTCTGTGGATAGAGCATCGGCCTACAGACTGAAGGGTCCTGGGTTCGATTCCAGGCAAGGACATGTACTTTGGTTGTGGGCACATCCCCAGTAGGGAGTGTGCCGGAGGCAGCTGAATTGATGTTTCTCTCTCATCAATGTTTCTAACTCTCTATCCCTCTCTCTTCCTCTCTGTAAAAAAATCAATAAAATATATTTTTTAAAAAAAGAATAATTCTTTATTGTTGAAAATATAACATGTCCCCTTTCTTCCCCCCCTCTCGCCCCCCTTTCTCCTCCAGCCTGTCCCTGTCCCTCCACCCCAGGCCCTCACCACCCCATTGTCTGTGTCCATGGGCCATGCATATATGCATAAGGTAAAAGTTCTGCCGTAACCGGTTTGGCTCAGTGGATAGAGCGTCGGCCTGCGGACTCAAGGGTCCCAGGTTCGATTCCGGTCAAGGGCATGTACCTTGGTTGTGGGCACATTCCAAGTAGGGAGTGTTCAGCAGGCAACTGATCGATGTTACTCTCTCATCGATGTTTCTAACTCTCTATCCCTCTTCCTTCCTCTCTGTAAAAAGTCAATAAAATATATATTTAAAAAAAAAAAAGTTCTTCAAAAGATTATCATTTAAGCTAGTAGAAGGAACCTCATGTTCTTTCGAATGTTATAAACTCTTTAAATACCCCAAACACATAGATTATCTTTATTGTTGACACTATTACAGATGTCCCCCAAGATCCTCCCCTTTGCCTCCCTCCACCGAAAACCACCCCTCTGGAAATTATCTTAATAATGTCCTAAACTTAATTCAAACTTATTACTATTCTAATATGATTTAGCTCATCATGACTATATAATTTTACACTCTATTTAATTTTAAACTCTCCCAGGGATTTTTTAAAAATCAAAACAAAACAAAACAAAACCTCTTATCCACCAAGAGAACAGTTTTCCCACCTTAAGGAAATTGGAATTGTTAATAGACAGATTTCTGACCAGGTCACAGACCTGGGCCTACACAGGCCAAGGACCTCCCACAGTCCTGCCTCAGCCACCACGTTCACTCAGCAGTTTCTATAGTTGCTGTCACAACAGCAAGCCCACCACCTTCAGGTTTAGGTGGTTTCTCCCAGACCCAAGTGAGGCCACCATGTAATTCCTCCACTGGATTCTAATGGACCAAAGCCTGCTTCTGCGTGGCAACTTCAGCAACGTTTTTCCTCTTGCTTCACTGAACCCTTTTTTTCTCAGCAAACTTAAGGTATTTTTATTGCCCCTTCAACTCTAATGTCTCAGAGCAAAGTAATGTTAGAGAAATTAACTAACTGAAAGGTTCGGAGTGGGCCGCAGTCATGCACCTATGACATGAGACCATAATGTATCAAAAAAGATTTATTCTGACCATCTGGGTGCAGGTGGGCTGAGACCTAGAAAGGCATCAGCGAAGAGAGCAGGGAGAGATAGGTTTTTATTAATTTTTGCTGGCTGGTCCGTCCTTGGTTCCTCCCATGCCAGGTGTCTTCTAGTTATCTGAGCTATGCTGTGATCAAGGCTGCAAGCTTTCTGCAAAATATCTGCTAAACATAATAAGGTTTTCTTTGCCTCATTTTATTCTCTTTAACCCTTTCACTAATCACTGTGAACCTCAATTTTCTCATGGTATATTGTGAAAATTAAGAAAAGTTTTCACAGTGTGGACCACACTGCTTGGTACATACAGAGTACAAAATAAATTAAGTTACCTCTTTTGAACATTTTTTGTTGTTGTTGTTAATCCTCTTCAGAGGATATTTTTCCATTGATTTATTTCTTTATTTTTTTTATAAAGAGTGGAAGAGAGAGGGAAAGACAGAGAGAAACATCAATGTGAGAGAAACACATCCATTGGTTGTCTCCTACACAAGCCCTGACCAGGGCCTGGGCCAGAGAGGATCCTGCAATCAAGGTACCTGCCCTTGACCGGAATTGAACCTGGAACCCTTTGGTCTGCAGGCCAACACTCTATCCACTGAGCCAAACCAGCTAGGGCTGAACATCTCTAATTCTCAGTTTAATCTTAACATTCCAGTATTTAGACCTGGTAGATATAGGTAATTGCAAGAAAGATTTTAAATACATTTCCAAAAATTTCATTCATTGTTACCTCAATATTATTTTTCATTATTAGTGTTTTTTTAAACTTTAAAGGTAATATGAAATGTGATATCTTTTAAATTTAACAAATGACTTCTGATTTGCAGAAAAAAGATGACCTTCCAGAGCTTGGGGAAGTGAATATATGTTTAAGAATGCAATTACATTTTCCACATAATGGAGTCATCTAACTGTATATCCAAATGAAGCTAAAGGATTTCCACGTGATTTATCTAAGGGTACTGGAGTTTGTATTATCTTATATCAGTGATGGCGAACCTTTTGAGCTCAGCATTTTGAAAAACCCTAACTTAACTCTGGTGCCGTGTCACATTTAGAAATTTTTTGATATTTGCAACCATAGTAAAACAAAGATTTATATTTTTGATATTTATTTTATATATTTAAATGCCATTTAACAAAGAAAAATCAACCAAAAAATGAGTTTGTGTGTCACCTCTGACACACATGTCATAGGTTCGCCATCATTGTCTTATATCAATTTTCTTATAGTTATTATTTTCTAACAATTTGCTAATTATTTCTGGTCAAACTTCACTTTGAGTAAATGAAAATCTCTTTTTATGCTGTGGCATATATGGAACAGCAATTAAGAGAAATGGTTGCAGAAAATTCAGCCTTATTTTTTTTCTGAAAGAAAACATTGGAGAAGGCAAATTAATTATTTTAGTTCTGTTTTAAAGAAATTAAAAATGAGTAAGATCTTTAGAACTATTTTAAGATTTAAAAGAATAAATACATCCTAGCCTATATTTTAATGGCTTCATTTTTTTATTGATCTTGGTTTTATTTATTTTGCTATTTAAAAATAATGGAGTATATACTTGTATTTTCTTTGAGATCTTGTTGAAGGATATGTGGAAGCTAGAGTTTAGCAAATTTATGAATCACTTTAGGATTATTCCTCAGATACAACGTGCTCATCAAGTTTATAAAAATAAATCCAACTGGGTTTAGAAATTAAAAAAAATTTAAAAAAGAAAACTGTACTAATAAAAAAAGGAAAGAAATAATGCCTCAGTTTCAATGCTATAAACACAGCTCATTGCAATGCACGTACAGTTCTTGGGCAGCTCATAACATTGAGTATGCTTTACCTTTGGTAAATATCTCGCCTTTTACTGGCTTGTAGAGCTCCTTTCCATCGACACCCAGAAAGCAAACTATCAACCTATAATAAATGGAGATGTTAAAATGTCATATTTATTCTTAAACATCATGTAACCCTAGGGGAAAAAATTTAATCTTTTCCTCAATATTTTATGATTGACACATACAATAAAGTAGAAAGAATTTTATAGTGAACAATCCACTAGCTAGATTCTACCATTAACATTTTACTCTACTTATTTGATCCATCTATTCATTAGTCTGCCTTATTTTTTTTTTTATGTATTTCAAAATAAACTGCACCCTAGCCAGTTTGGCTCAATGGATAGAGCATCAGCCTGTGAACTGAAGGATCCCAGGTTCAATTCTGGTCAAGGGCACGTATATCGGTTGCAGGCTCCTCCCTGGCCGGGGCCCTGGTCAGGGGTGTGCAGGAGGCAACCAATCAATGTGTTTCTCTCACATTGATATTTCTCTCTGACTTTTCCTCTCTCTTCTACTCTCCAAAAATCAATGGAAAAATATCCTCAGGCGAGGATTAAAAAATCTATATAATAAAAGCCTAATACGCAAATCGACTGAACGGCAGAATGACCGGTCCTTATGACGCGCACTGACCACCATGGTGCAGACACTCAACACAGGAGCTGCCCCCAGCCCGCAGGCCCCAGGCCAGCCAAGGCGGGTGCCAGCAGGGGGCCCCTGATAGCCCCACCAGTCACCTGCAGAGGGAGGCCAGTGGCAGTGACAGTGGGGGGTAGGACTGGCATCAGGCCGGCCAAGGTGGGTGCTAGCGGGGGCCCCCCGATTGCCCCACCCACTGCCCCACAGATTGGCCCTGATCGCCGGCCAGGCCTTGGTACCCTACCTGTGCACAAATTTTGTGCACCAGGCCTCTAGTAAATAAATAAAAATAAACTGCAGCCCTGGCCGGTTTGGCTCAATGGATAGAGCGTCAGCCTGTGAACTAAGGGGTCCCAGGTTCAATTCTGGTCAAGGGCATGTACCTTGGTTCGGGCACATCCCCATTAGGGTTGCAGGAGGCAGCCAATCAATGATTCTCTTTCATCATTGATGTTTCTCTCTCCTCCCTTCCTCTCTGAAATCAATTAAAAAAATATTTTTTTAAAAAGAGTGACACTGTGATGAACGTTTTAATACATTAATATCTGGCCCAACTTTTTGATTATTATGTGTGATAAATTCCTGGATATGTAATCATCCAGCCCAGGAGCCTGAATATTTGCTACATCCTGTCAAACTGTCTCCAGAAAGGCTGCCCCCTGTACTTCGGAGCAGTGCTATCCGGTGTCTGTTTCATCACACCCTCCCCAGCACTAATATTGATTTTTTAAATGCTCCAGGAATCTTTCCTTTGCAATTACTTGATTACCTTTGAAGTTAACTTTTCTCATGTATATTAGTTAGACTTTATTTCTTCTTTAGTTCAAGGTTTTTGGTGGAGATATTCTTTGATTAATCCTATTTCATTTGCGTTCACGGTAAGCAATAGCAGCTTCCATGGAGGAAGGCTGCGGGAAAGGGGACTGGAGAGTGGAGTGGTGCTGGGCCAGATGTGGTTGGCAATGGTTCCCGTTAAAAGATTAGATTCAAAGGTGAGGGGGTTCGGGAGGTGTTAGGCTCGGAGACTGAAATGTTAGGGTGAGGGCGCGCAGTCAAAGGTCACCGTTTGGGAGGTTGGGCCCCTGGGGTCTGGTGGGGAGGATGAGGGTCAGACCCGGGTTTGGTGAGGGGAGTGGTCTAGCTGGGAAGGCCCGTGGGTCCGGGCGGCTCCCGGGATTCAGGCGCCCCGCACTCGCCGCCAGGGCCGGGCTCCGCACTGTCCAGGCCCGGTGACAGCAGGTCGGACCTGCAGCTTCAGCTCCGGGCGCTGCCGGGGCTGTGGGAGGCGCGTGGCCGCTCAGCCTGCACCTCCTCGCCTCTGAGCGGGCGAGCGGCCCCTCTAGGTGACGTCACCTGGTGACGCCATCAGCGGGCGCTCGTCGCACAGCCTGATGCTGCCCGGGCTCAGGGAGACTTTCTGGAGGAGGTCCTGTCCCCAGACCCCGCCACCGCAGGTCGGAGCCCTCAGCCCCGCCACGTGGCGTCTGTAACCGGCACCCAGAGGCGGGGGTTCCCACGGTCTCAGTGTTGCCACGTGACTGCAGGGCCCTGGTGTTATGCCACTACTTTCTGATGCCAGTTTTGCTAAACCAACCTGATACCATCTGAGCACCTTAAACTCTTAACCGCAAGGACAGCTCTCCTCTAGCCCTCCGCCCGCCGGGACCCCCAGTTCTGTTGCCTACGCTCCTTGCAAAGGGCAGTTTCTAGTTCTTGGCCACATGGGGTGTGGCTGACTTTTCATTCTAGGTTTGCACGTGGCCATCCTGATTTCTGTGAGGATGGGGACTCTGTTCTACAGCAGGCCTGTGAGCGAATAATCATCCCCATTTTACATCTACTCTCAGACTGAAGTGACATTTCCCCAAGTGGGACTGGATCCTATAAACCAATCCCCACGCTCCACTACACTGAACAAGAATGAGGATCGGAGCTCAACTTTCACCCGAGGAGCTGCTAGGCTCCTTCAGAACCACACACAATGATGCCACTGGCCCAGTGGCCATGCTGTTTGTGTACTTTTTTTCTTCAAGTATAATTTAAAGTGACAACAAGCGCCCACCTCAGTTTTCACACTGAACACTCCCCCACGTCACTCAGAACATTAGGATTCAGAACATGACAAGCACCCCAACAGTCTCTCCTCTAGGCCAGTGGTTCTCAACCTTGGCTGCACATTAGAATCACCTGGGAATCTTTTTAAAATCCTGATTTCTGGGCCTCATCATTAGTAACAACGAAACAGAATTTCTGGAGGATGAGGCCCAGGAATCAGGATTTTAAAAAGATTCCCAGGTGATTCTAATGTGCGGCCCAGGTTGAGAACCACTGCTCTAGGCGAGAGACGGGGGGAATCCGTCTACTCATATTATAACTTTATGTTCTCTCGGACAAAAGATCCATTTTTATGTGTGAGCAGCGGGCGGGGGCGACGCGGGGGAGGAGCAGAGACTAGTAGAACATTATACAACATGTGGGCTGAAACAAACTATCCCAGCTAGTCTGTGACTCCTGTAGGGAGAGAGTGAGACTATATCTCTTCTTGTACTCTGTATCTGTTCCCTCCTCCAACTTCTTGCCCGGGGGGGCCAGATTACCTGAGAAGCGGGGGTAGATC